ATATATAAATATATTTATATATTTATATATATTTTATTTATATTTATATGCGATTGTGTGACGTTTATGTGACAACGTCACCCTATCGAGTTGGCGTCGAGCGATAAAACCACCCTAACGATGCCTCCTCTAATAAATAGATTATCTTATATTACATACATATATCTGTTCGTAGATGTGTTGCGGGACGAAGCGCAGTGTCGGAAAACGCGGTTAATCTCGATCGTCGCGTGTCGATTTAACACGCCGCGGCAATTACGTGACGCTGTACACGACGCCGCCATTCGCGCACGCAAAATAATAGGAGGGCTGCCCTTTTCTGTTCGGGGAAAACACGTAAATGAAAAATGCTCGAACAAAATTCTTATAGCGTGAACCTATATCGCGCGCAACCACGAGCCGAGACGACGACGATGTGCGTAAAATAGTAGCGCGAAACGAAATGAAACGAGCCGATGTCGAAACGAGCTTCGTAATAAAATTTCTAACGATTGTATATAGCGCATTTGAACTTAACGCACAACGATCGAAACTAATTCACGATTAAGTGTCGCTAATTACAGGCGAATTACAGATTTTATGATTATATTATTAATTTATTGTTTATAATGTAATATTAAATGTTATCAATGGATCGCTAATTATAGTCTTATTATAGATCGATTATATTATTGTCAAATCGATTATATTATTAATTAGATTAGTAAAATTAATTAAATTATTAGACCGCTCGGTACTTTAAATATTGTTAATGTTGTTAGCTTCGCGTTAAAATTAACACGAAGATTTGAAATGAAAACGAGGCTCATTAAATGTAAATGTTAACAAATGCAAATTGGATATATCTTTTAATTGTCACGGTTAAAGCGTTATCGCGTTAATTACTACGGGCATTCTCATACTGCCAAGAGATACATCACAAACAACTCTCGCTTCACTACTCGTACTTCCACTGGGAATAAGATCTTAAGGGCAAGAAAACACTTGTTGAAACTTGTATATTAATATATTAATTATGAAGAATAGCGTGAAACGCAAGGAATTAAATTCAGCACGAAGAAAGTGATATTATTTCAATTTATATTTATCTGTCTGATTATAGAAACAGTGTGTAACAAAATAATTCTCTTATATGTTAGAAATAATATCGATTGTGCATTATCGTTAAGAGGAATTGTGCGATTTATTGGGGCAAAATTTCGAGACAGATATGTAGATTTTAGCTTCCAAAGTCCGTTTCATGCCCGTCTGTTGTTTGCGAAATGCAACCGGATATCGGACCACAAATCACAAATCAATTTGTCGTTCAATTTGTTGTAAAACAGGACGAGGGGCGCAAAACCGCAGCTAGCACGTATTTAATAGATCAAACTATGCAGGATTTCGGGAAAGGCGGTTTAGAGATGCAGGTTCATCAGGGCACCCTTGGTCGTCGCAGCAATCACATGCAAACGTCTATGAACATGGACTCGCCGCCGCAGCGGACCACCGCCAGCGGGACTCTCTCGGGGACGTGTAAGTATCAGTAATCACTATTTTTTTTAAATTATTTTACACGTATTTTTAATTATACTAGCTTTTATATTTAAATATCAGCTTATTCAATCGTTACTATAAGTTTAGATTTATTAAAAATTATTCGTAAAATTTTAAATTTCTCAGTTACAGGAAATAGAACATAAAAAATATTAGAATCCCAGATGTGAAATTTGACGGATTGCGATGACATAAACTGTAATGATATATATATATGGAACTCGCTTATCTCTCGTCGTCGTTTCTTCTATATCTATATAGCTTTCTGAGAAAAATGTGCCACCTTCTAAGGACTTGTCATTTAACGTTACAGTGTCGAAGTCGAGTTACATCGGCAATCCGAGCCCGGCGCCGCCCAACGACGTGAGCTTCTATAGCGTGGAGATGGACAACGGCCGGGGCTACATGAGCTACGACGGCAATCCGAGTCCGGCTCCGCCCGTCATCGATCCGACCGGCGGGCCCTACTATCCCTCGTCCATGGGCTCGACGGGTCACATAATGAGCGGGCATCTGGTAGCCGGCACTGGCACGCTGACGCGCACCAGGACACTGCCGCGTCCCGTGCCGCCGCCCGACGTCACCGTGATGACCGCGGGCACCAAGTCGCCGATACCGCCGTCGGTGCCGCCGCCGCCCGCCACGTTCGCCCGCGCCGGTGCCAACAACGGCGGGCCGCACTCGCATCCGCACTCGCACCCGGCACCGCCGCCGCCGTCCTGCCAGAGCCACCCGCTGTCGACGTTCGCGGCGACGCCGAGCTACTCCGACATCGACGGTCATCTTGTCTGAGGCTCGCCGATCTTCGGGCCCAGCTCGACGCGCGGCAAGTATCACGCCGTCGCCCAGAACGACGACGAGGATCGCCGACCGCCCACGGAGAGGAGCACGCGTCTCTGAACGGCGCGGCGCGTCGTGATGATGGATGATCCTCTTCCGCATCGTCCACGTTGTTCGCATCATCGTCACCGATCGTCTCCCTGAACGGCGGACGAAGAGAGGACGACGAGCGCGGCGACGGCTCGCGGGCGACCTGCGTCGCGGCTGTAGGCCCTGGCCGCTCATCATGCGCCCGAACGGTCTCCGAGGAACTCTAGTTTGGTGCGCGAGAACGAAAGTACGACGAGGTGTGTAAATAGAGAAAGGACAGGGGCAATGAGAGAGAGAATGAAACGCGCGCCGAGAGAGTGGTGCACCAGGTTCACGCTGTAAACAGCCTTTCCCTTCCCACGCGGTTACTTCCTTAGACGAGAGGAGACACGCGCGGGGCTCTCCTACGCGATTGAATTCTAATCTTAGGGACACGTGTATGTATAGTTGAAACGCTCGACGAAGAGCGATCTTCGGAGACGGGGAGAAAGTTGGGGAACGGCCGCGCCGGCACGCGCGACCGTTCCCCCGAAGAGCTCGCGAGGAAGCGGTTCCGCCGTTACCTCCCACGCTGTTCTACCTTTCCCTCCCCCTCATCTTTATCGTTTTCCCTGCTCTAACTCTTCGTCTTTGTCCGCTCGCCTTAGCGTTATTTAGCGTAACCTCGCTAAACAGCGACGTAATCACACGAACGCATCGAACGATCGAGCTCCAAATCGACGCGTCCGATCGTCGAGGAAAGTATATATATTTTTTCTGTAAATACACGCATGATTCGAGAGATAGATCGAGAGAATCGAACCCGCGATAATAATTTCGTTTTTCAGTTGCTTCGCGCACGTCGGCACGCGTACGCGCTCCTCGTGTCATAGCGATTATGTTTAGATATCACTATGCTGATATCAATAACCGTCGGGAAAATCCGTCGAGGGATCTTTGAAATATCAAATTATGGCGAGTGATCTTCCTTGCCCTGACTGTGACTGACGCCGAAATGCATGTTCCAAATTTCCACACGTGCAATCATAAACTTCACGATCAACAGTGACATTATTGTTACTATAAATATCACGGAATATATTTCCTTCTGGCCGCGAGAATAGCCAATATCATGCCACGGTTTAAAGCTTGGAAGAAAAGAATGAAATACATTTGAATCACGTGGTTTTTTTTAATCTTTTTATTTCTATTATTTTTCCAGTTGGATTTTCGTAACTTTTATAAAAACAAATCTCTACTTCTAAAATCAACTGACAAAAACCAGTTCTTGCAAGCTTCTTTTTTTATGCACAAATCTATCCATCCGTCTTCCAATTTGATGTTGGTTATTCTAGTTCCAAAATACTGATCTCGGTATCGGGTTTTTATGATTACGACTGTCGCGCAAAATCAGTAATATTGATTTTTAAAATATTGATAGCAATTAATTAATGATCGCACAATATACTGCCCCTTTAGAGCTCGCAAGAGCGGGCATATCCGTCATGACCGTCCATTGTTTACTTTCGCGTCGATAAGTCGGTTTCATCCCGACGTTTCGAGGCTGAGGGAGGCGAGACAATCGTTATTACAAAAGAGACGCGCATGGAAAAATCCGTAGAGAGTCCGATAGCAGCGGCGTTAAAGCTTTCTTTCCCTTCCCACCCCTCCGTTCGTCCGTGCCGTTTACGATCCTCTATTTGAGTTAACGGCGTCTCCTTCTACATGAGATATCTACGAGTGCTGCTAACCGAGTTTAGCGCTAAATGTGGCGGTTTGATCTCTAATCTCGACATTCTCACTTGGTTAAAGCACTTAAAGTTATAGAATATAGCCACCTTCAGCGTTAAAATGACAAGAATACTCAGCGAGTCCATTATTTCGCACTTTACAAGAACATTCGAGGTCTTATACGATTCTTGCGAGAGCCTGGAGTCAATTGCAATTTTAGGAAGAATTTTACGAACTTAATAATCTACTGTAATAATTATATACTCGTGGATGAAGTTGAAGCGAATTTTTTGCAACTACGCGAAAGTAAAGTTTTGACTACAAAAATTGAACTATCCTTTTATATGATAAATTCGAAATTGTATCGAAATTATTATAATTGATATTTAAGAATTGTTTTCTTAATATATTACAAAAAGTTTTATAATGGTATTACACAGAGTTTCCAGATTCAAGAGAAATATCTGTGTTTTATTTCTAGTAAATTGTTTTCTTAAATATATTACAAAGAGTTTTATAATAGTATTGCACAGAGTTTCCGGATTCAAGAGAAACATCTGTGTTTTATTTCTAGTAAATTGTACATAATATACATTCTAAAATCTAAATCTTCACAAATCCTATTATTGTATTATATTTTTAATTGTATTGTAAATTCAATATTAATACGGCATAATTAAGCTTCAATTGAGCCGCTCACATTCAATTGACAAATTGCATTTCCGTGCAAGCATGAAGAAATTCAGATTTAATTTTTTCGTCGCGACTCAAATTGCTTCTCCCTGCCACTTGTCTTCCACTCTTCAATTGGCTTCGGACTATTCCTACGCATCGCAAGAAAAGAGATTACGCGACGATTTAAGCTATATGCGTTGAAAAGTACGCGGAAGGACTTTACGCGGTTCGTTGTTTCTAAAACGACCCGTTTAAGTACGTTTATTAGCATAATCGCGCAATTTGCATATCATAAGTCACATTCGCGCTTTAATTACTTGCGTTAGAGTTACGTCGCCTAAGTTACTTATATCGCTGTTGTACGCAAATGTGCGCTGCGATTGTCGTCCCTTGCGAAATTCTGGCGAATTCACGGAAAACGAATCCGAGCACTTGAGTCGTGCGTAGAAAATGGACTTTTCACTGCCGATCCTGAAGTCAATACTGTAGTTAATCCGTACCGATCGTTTAATATATATTTTTACCTTCTTACACGCGATAAATATACACGTATATCATGTATGCTGAACGATCGTTCTCGTCGCATTGCGACCTTCACGATTGTCAATCGCCGAACGATCGATCATTCGTTTATGAAAACCAAACGAGCCCGCGTTAATGTTTGCGTTTTGCTGGTAATTCCGAACTTTTCGTTCGCCATACGATCCAAACGTGAGCGGATCGGGCTGCCGAATGCATCCACGATGCACCTTCACGCGTTGCATTTAGAGGCGCGTTCACGAAACCGAATAACGACGGCGCAGACTCGCTCGGCTGAAAGTCGGGTCGAGCCGAGATCGCGATTCGATCTCATCGCGGTCGATTCACCCCGTCAGAATTTTACCGCGAATTTTACGTCTCCACCGCGCGGAGGATAAAGACGCGGTGCAAACATAATCAGCGAGAGATCTTTTTCCCGGAGGAGGACGAGAGAACGGGGGAGAGCCCAATATACCAGTGAATGTCTCGGCGTAGTGATATCTCGAACAAAGACAATAGTACATAAGTTTTAATTGCTGCGTAATGGTTTTCAGTTGAGGGTATAAATATATATATTTAAACTCTGCCGACGGCGCGGCGATGTTTTTCGCGAGGACCGCGCGCGAGGACGGCTCCGCGTAAGCGCGCGGCTTCGTCTCGCGCACGAAGTTTTCGGAAAGAAAAAAGAATCCGCGCGGATGTACTCGTATTAGCTCGACTAAATGTTCAATACATATACATATATTTTTGCATTTATTTCCAATTACTAACTTATGATTAAACTCCGTGTACATAGTGCGACAATGTCTCAATGTTTCACGCGGTCGGAAGAGTGGAAAAAATTACAAAAAATAAAAAAAATAACTGAGAGAAAAAAAAGTAATTCAAATGGATCATATGAGGGTCTCACTATTACCTTAGGCTATAAACGAAGTATTGCTAGAGGGTAATAACGCTGTATATCCGAAAAAAAAAAAAAAGAAATAAGAGAAATTAACCCTGTTGATTGTGAACGAGACAACGTCTTTCCGTTCTTCGTCGAAAGCCTAAGTAGTCAGCGTATATATATTTTTGAAAATGATCATGACGACGACGATGACGATAATGACGATGACGATGACGACGACGACGACGACGACGACGACGATGATGACGGTGACGATAACGACGACGATGAAACTCGATGCGTTTGGCCTATTGTAAGGGGGATATATTGCAAGAGGCAGCCATGTGACGCACGCCGTGCCCGGCGGTGAAGGGCTGTGACAGTGGAGGTGCAAGGGTCCCACGCGACGTCGCGTTCCCTCGAATCGACCGCCGTGAGGTTGCCCCCCAACGTCGCGCGCGATGCAACGTAGCGCATTCCCGCGCTGTTATACGATAATTGTAATGATCCGTTGTAACTTCGCCACTTATAAGATTGCTCGTTTCCGCGCGGCACGCACATCCGTCGTCGGCGATAAGATTTCTCCCCTTTAAGCCGGGGAGAGTCGCGTAAGAGAGGGACTGATGACGAGAAGGGGGAGGGGAGGGACAGGGGGAAGAGAGATTTTCCGAGATCCACGCTTCATCCCGCCGACGTTTGGATTTGTTTGTTAGGAGACAATTATACTTTACCATGGCCGGGGGCGGCCACGTGCGTCACATCGCTCGTCGAAGAGATTGTTTGAAAGTTTTATGGATAACGTTTTTCCGTAGCGTACGCATATATATTGTTGTTTCTCATTACAGCGATATTATTTGTTAACACGGTAGATAATTACGAAGCTTAAGGCAAAAAGAGGTAGAGAGGAGAAATAAAAAAAAAACATGAGAGAAAGAGAGAGAGAGAGAGACATGTATTGTTAAACCGCCGTTGTGTATGGAGCCGCACAGTTCGGCTTAGACTGATGATAAGAAATTCACGTATGCTCAATTAGAGATGAACATGTTCGCGCATAATTAAGAGTTCTATTTACATATACATGTTTTATATTTGTAATTAAAAAAAAAACAAATCATCTATACTTAATATTACCTGAAGATTATTATTAGATTTATGTAATCTCCAAAGTATTTGCTCATCAAAGTGCTAGGCATGTTAGACGGACCGCTATTCGTCCAAAATGGTACCTTGGAGATGGACATACCATCTAACACGTACGACATTTGATATTTTACATAATAATAACGACAGCTCGTAATTCCGTTGATTACTCTAAGACATAGTCAATCCTAATTATACAATCATTAAGGATATGGAGGGAAGAATCAATTAATCGTTTTACATGTATATAAAACATATAATGTACATAGCACTTAGATAGACACAAAAAAGGGAGAAAGGAAAATAATGGAAATACTTACATTACGAATTATATCAAACTACGAAATGGGGGAAAAGAAATGGGGGGGAAAAAAAAAACGAAGAATCGAGAGCTTTTGTATACTAGGTGTATATTGGTATATATTCACTTTGTATCGTTCTTTTTACCGCGACGAGATGATTATCGAATAAATAGGGATTAGCGGCAGCGTCATTATTTCTAAAAAGTGCGACAAAAAAAAAACGATATCCAACGACGTGCGAGCTTCGCGAAACGGGATTCGACGATGGGGATAAAAATGCGGTAGGCAGGAGTAGACGAGCGAGCGCAAAGCGACGCCGCGCCAACTGTATCCGTTCCAAAATTGATATATCGCCAGTGTTCCATCGCCTTCGCGTCAACGCCACGTTTTTTCATAATAACGGGGGGTGGGGGATCTTTCTTATTGCTCGGGCTACTTCTACTTTTTCACGCGCGTATATAGGGTGATAATTTTTACCCCCCTTCGTGCCGAGCGCGCGCGCGCGTCACGCCAATAAATACACACGAAAGTACGTCGTGCTCCTCCCCCTGCGTTTTCATGTTTGTACATAACTATTATCGCGCCGCGACTGGTCTAAATGTTGCTTCCGTTTTATGTGCCAACCGATCGACGTTGTTCTTCGATTCGTGTGTAACATATGATGGTTACGGGATATTAAATGCGAGACGAAGGAGGGGGGAAGAAAGAGAAAAATATAGGACAACGAATCGGCACCGGCACCGACGGCCGTTTTCGACGGGGGAAGTTTTTCAAGCGCGCGGCCGGCGCCGATTCTCCGAGTACAACAGAGATACGTCGGCAAGGAATAAAAAATAAAGGGGAAAAAAAATGAGGTAATGGAGTTAGACTTAAAAAGAGAGATTAAGGAAAAGAGAACGAAGCGAAAGGGAAAAGCTCTCTGATCGACGTAACGGTGTAACATATATAATTGAAACGCCCACGATTAACTGATTAATGTACATATACATAGTATTTTTACATTCTAATTCTAAATTACATTTCCAATTCTAAATGGTATACACAACACTACACTCACTGTGAGCTTCGCTCCGTCATCTGCGTATTGTATAATAATCGCGACGACGATACACGGCTGCATATCCGCTCCTGTCGTCGTCCACCGACCCCCCGTCGCGGGGGCGGGAGGGTAGGGGGTGAGATGGATAATCCCGTAAACAAAAAGTGCATTTACAATGATTATTGCTCAGCAGCATCCTCTTCTCCATTGACTCCTCCACGTGTTTGTTACATTTCTCGCGCCCCGTCACACGACATTCAATAAACGCATGCCTTGTGCCTTTTCGCCGCATCACGTTGCTTAAACCGTAACACGTAGGGCAGAACGAAGGGGGAGGGAAGAGATATATTATCCTTGTGCGCGATTCCATTTTACTATTATTTGCGCGATTTGTCCATGAGCTATGCTCATTGCCGAAAGACACTGTGTGACGAGACGTTGGCCCTTGAACGCTCTTTCGAGACACGAAATAATTGAGGAGTAATAAATATATATATATATATATACATATATTCGTTTACCTCGTTTGATACTCGATTTTAGCGTCATTAGCATAATTTGATAATTGCCAGATTTTCGTTCGAACGACTGCCAATATTCTAATATTCGACGTTAAGGAGGGAGAGGTGTACAAGAATGTGCTGATTTATAAATGTGTACGCAGAGGCAGAGCGGAGCTCAACACGCTAGTCCTTAATTTAAAACCAAAGTAAAAGCAACATTGTGTAGCGTTTAAGAATCTCTATTACGTATACACACCTGTGTGTCTATACAGACATAATTATAATTAACGATTCCAATCATTGTAATTAGGTAAATGAAACTAACCGATAAGCAGATAGGTAAAAAATAAGCCACTCATTATGTGTATATCATCTTGTTTTTCATTCATAATTTTTCACTACACAATTAACAACATTTTATCTAGGAGAGCCTTTCGTCAGCTAGGATATTATTCTGTATCTGTATTCTGTATATTGTTTTCTATTGCAACTATTAAAACTGATTGTCAACTTATAAACCGGTCTGCCATATGCTTTATACTTCGTCGTTACCTTTCCCTCTTTCGAGCGAGTCGTTCTTGTACATCGTCGAATTATCACTCGAAAATGCGACAAATCTCTTATATCAAATGTCAACCTGTTAATTAATTTCTGTGATTGATGATTCGTATACGTATTTAGACAACGACTATTTGTCATGTGGAATCAAGTATCCTGTGCGTTAATTTTCATTTGAGCGGCACGAACTGTATTGTCGCATTATTCAACGAAATGCGATTACTTTCCGCGAGCAATTAGTGACTGACAGTCAGCAATTAATTACAATTAACTTGCGCGATTAACGACGGCAAATGTATTGCATCATCTTCTTATCGAAGCTGGAACTTCGAGCGATTTAATTCACACGTAATAATCGGAGTGATATAGGAGGTGGGAGATTATAAACCGTTTTATCGCAACGCTCGTACACGCGAACGTGTGATTTCCCTAGTACTAAATATTAAAGGTATTTCCGATTTGTTGGAAGCTTTCCCCGCCGCCGTTTGAGATTTCGCACTGAGATTAGTAGATGTCGAACAGATTATAAAGCTTTATACTTTTCTCGCAATCCACAATGACAAAATCGCGTGAGATTGAGATCGCAAGTGCAAAGAGTCGTACGATTATTCTATTCTGATTATTGCTACACGTGATCGTAATTAATTGTGTTTTCGCGAGTTTTTTTTTGTGTTATTGTGCACGAGGAAGAGAAAGAAGAACGGGGAGGCCCGGGGAGCAAAGCGGAGCAACTGTGTAAGTAAATTATTTTTTTGTTTCAAGAAAGAAAATGTCCACTGATATCGTTGATGAAACTCACGAGAAAATTTGGGAGATGTCTTTTGATGAATTTTTTAAACTTTATTGCGGTACCGTCGATAACAATTCTCTTCGAATTCTCATTTTTGGCCAAACGTAAACGTTTAGTTCAAGTAATAATAGCGAATAAACTGAGTTTTTTCAATGTTCCTCCATAAATGTTTTTACCATCTATGATAAGGAATTGTTATTGGGAAAAAGAAGAGTCTTGTGATCATATGTCAATGTATATTTTTTCCTTTCGTATAGCACAGAAGATAACAATTACTATTACATTACATTTGTTGTCATTCTGGACATAGAGGATGATAATGACGATGATCATGACAGTCTATAAAAGACAGATAATAATGATGATGATAATGTCGAACAATTACGGTAGAAACGAGAAGTACTTAGATAGATTTTAATAGAAATACGTCTCTTAAACATATCTAGTTGCGCGGTTCGAATCCAGTCTTTCTTTTTTGTAATTTGACAAACGAGACTGTCGAGATCTATTGAAGGTATATTACTAAACTGCTCAGTCTTGATACACTTTAGTCGATTTACGTGTTAAAATCACAAATTTGTCCGCAAGCAATTTTAATTCTTCGTAAAAAGTCTCAATATATAATTTATAATTGATATCACTTAATAGCGATATTAAATTTTTAATTTAGCGAGTAGAAAAAAATCAAATACATTCGTCGTCAAAGAATTAAAGCATTCGGTAAATTTAAATTACATTCAGAAATCCGATGTTATTAATTTAATTCTATTATGAGTTGTTGAAATTGTAGGGCAAAAATTGTAAAGAATCTCATTATGTCAGAGTTTTGCGGTCAGAATTTTTCGATTTACGAACGGATTCGAACGAGTTCGCACGTCGCAACGAGACTACATACATAATTCGCGTTATCTACAAAGGAAACAAATCGGTAATAGTGATTATGACATGATTCCTTGACTGCGCCTTCGAGAAAAAAAAAACGCTAGCGCATTTTCCCATTCTTTATATATATATATATATAATATATATCTTAAACTATTAAAACGCTAGTTTTACAGCCCGAAAAACGCTCTTTCGTCCGCGGTAAACGCGTTTTGCAAAACTCACTAGAATTCTGTACATCAATGAAAGTCGCCCGCTATTTCGTGATCATCAATGTAAACTCAATCGATATCGACAGGTACCATGCTGATATATCTCAGTATACAGGATATAGCTTAAAATAAATACGATTCGTCTACGTTCTAAACGCTCAGTGATCGCGGCGGAAATATATCAATTAAGAATATACGATAAATTTTTCATTCGCAAACTATTTGCAAAATCTGTCCGAATATCCCTCTCGCGCGAGATATACCTCGCGGCGAGTACACGCAATTTACAAATTGTACACGAATTGCATATAAGTACGAGGAGAGCTCGATTTATTGAATTTTTCGACTTTGTATCATTTGACGCAATCCCATGCGGGATTTACGAATTGGAAGATCTCGAACAGAACTTCGATACTTAGTATTCTTTAGAAAGGTGCAGAAGAGAGAGAGAGTTATCTAATATATATTTACATTGTGATGAGATTCAACGGTAGCGCTAAAAACTTGGCGCATGAGTAAAAAAAAGTACGTAAGAAAGAGATATACACTGCCGATCGGTAACTTGAACTCTTTCTCCCATTAATCTTTCCTTTATATTGAAGTAATTAAGAATTCAAATTGCATAGCAATAATTGTACAATGATTATTACATTAAGAAATATTTTTTTATATTTCTTAATGTAATAATATCACATCGAAAATTTTTATAAACTCGCTATTTTTTTTTTTATTTGAACTTGACTTATTTTCTGACGAAAGAGCACTCGTCAAATAATTTGAGCACGACAATATTAACTTCAAACTTGATTTTTAAAGAGCAGCATTCAAGCTCTTGACCAACAGCAGTATATAACACAAATAAACATTTAATATAAGCTTGTGAAAGCCTTATTTGCATCGGTGATAGGCTGTTCGGTAAACTCAAAAAAGACGGTAAATAAATCGGCAATCGGATATGATGCCTAATAACGTAAAAAAATCACAGTTTTATTTAAGTCTAGATTCGTATATATATATAAGCGGTATTAAATAATTATACTATTTACAATCTCTCGAGAAAGGCCTTGACACGGCCTATCGAGTCACACGAGACACGCTCTAATTAGTCAATTAATAATATAATGTATTCTCTCGGTCATCCTCGTTCGAGAACGACGGTCTATCTATTATGAGAGAGATCTGGAGAGAAAGAGAGAGAGAGAGAGAGAGAGAGAGAATAGTTAATAATGTAACATTTATAAAATAACGTTCGCACTCGTGAGTACGATTATTTTGATCCGGTACTTTGACATGGGTAAGGTTTTCCGCGCTTTGTCGTACTAAGGTAAAAGACAAGCAACGATAAGGCTTTTTCGACATAAAGTACATTCTCCAACATGATTTCAGTAATTGCACACTGCCAACAATAGTGAATTTCTATACGAGTCAGTTACATTGCTGTTTTTATTTCGCTTGACATAATTCTAATTTGAAACTTGCTGTTAAGGTACCTAATTATCGCGGATAATTAATCAAATTCTTATAATTATCTAAAATCGAGAAAATCGATTTAAAAAGAATCGAGAACTTAATCAAAAATATAGAATCCTCGATTTAGAAAGAATCGAGAACTTAATCAAAAAGATAGAATCCTAACGGCATTTCGATAGAAAAAACAAACTGCTAAATTTATTATATCGAGAATCACACAAAACGAAAATAATTTTCTATATTACGTATACTCGTAATCTCTATACAATTAATTACTGGCACGACAATTAATCACGATTCAATTTTACTCTGATTTTCGATTCTATTCCGCTTGCAGCCGCTGATCGCGGCTAATGTCTTTTACTTTACTACTTCTATTAGCATAATTGCCGCTAACGAACACACGCAATCCCGTGGAACGCGAAGGGAAAGGGTCGCTTTGATTGAATATACACGTAATATGCATATAATGGCGTTCGCGAGAACATCTCGCATGTATAAAAGTTTATCTCTCTCTTCTAATATCTCGCTATCACTTAAACGGTAAAGTTTCTCCTATGAGGACAGTCGCCCGATGATAATACTCCTACATACACACACAACAACACGAGAATTTGAGATCTACAGTATCATGAGAAACTCAAATTTCACAGATTTTAATTCGGCATTTACAGTATATATATATCATTCTTTTAAATACATGTAAAACGCGCTTGCACAGTTTTCGTTGGGGTATTTAGAAATTAGTATATCCGGCTCGAACGAACGCGGACAGACGGAGAAAGTTGTCTTTAACATCGGTAGAGTTTGCAACATTCGTGAAACGCGAATTGCATCGCCAGGAGGGCTCGCCATTAATGTATGCAGTTATTAAATACACCATTAACGTGTACAGTTGGAAACGAGTACAATTAATTAATGGGAAACGCCAATGACGATCCAACGGCTCTAGAATTGGATATGAGTTGATTTTACAGAATATATAGTATCCCGACAGCCTCAAAATGCATCGTCCGACGCTCGTCTAAATGCTCAGTGCTCAATACCAGCCTTCCATGGTTTTCAGTGTCAACAAAACGACTGTCTCCCTTTAAAACTTTAACCCGCCCGCACTCTAACACGCGACTCTGTGGCACATCATGCCTTATACACGTATGTACATCATATATTCCATAAAATTAACAAGACATGAATACAAAACTTCGTATGACCCATTGTCTTCCATCAACGTTTCTATTTTTGTTTTCTTTTTTTTTACGGCTAACTTACGCCTTTACCGTACATACCGATGATCTATGTACACCGATTAGCTATCAAGTATACAAAGTATTATTCGTCTCCTGCGGAACTACATTTGTGTATCTATTTATGCGCGTTCGTGTCGAATTAACACCAAAGGAATCCTTTCAAATATACGATATTTTATACAGCAATTCCCGGTCAAAAAAATTATAAAATAGTCAGAGGGATACAGAACTCCGGGTGAGAATAGCGCGCCAGACAATTTTCGATAATTCGCTCGAGATCACTGCTCGGATCCTCCTCGTGTTAATTACTGATTAAGCCACCCATCACACGGACACGAGAAACGAAAACTTTGCGCGATGGATGATACGCGAGAACACAGCGGCCTTCGAAAGCAGACGTTCATCGAGAGTTTTACATTTCCTTGCATCGTTTTCTATGTATATATATGTATAAATTTTTATATACCTATATACGTACAGATATATATCAAGAGTCGCCCTCTTGGAGGATAATAATTTCGAGTTGATCCTAGCCATTGAAAATTCACAGTTTCTAACTCTGAACAGTGTTTGCTATCGAGAGCCACTATATATCGGAGAGTAAAACTCTTTAAATGTAACACCCAGTTTAGCTCGGACGAATCTCCCTGTTGAATTATTTTGACTTAGAGATAGTGAGTATGCACAACGCGCGCGATGAGATCTCTATTTTTTTTTTATTAATAATTCCTTTTTGCTGATAATTTCTCTCCCTTACTTCGAAAAGCACATCTATTATTATTGTAATCATTAGAGCTACTCTCTACTTATATTAATTAATATACTACTATTGTTACTGTCGCTGCTGCTGCTAAATGCTACTAAAATTACACATTTGTTAGCGTCTCATTTTTTTTACTTCTTTCTCTATATTAATATCATATTATTATTACCACTAATATCATCAATAATCAACATAATCGTTAGCGATATATTGTTAATCTTATTATTGTTATCGTTATTTAAAGTTTAGCTATTTATTGTTGCGGTTACTTTTTTGTTCTTGCTGTTGCTATATTATTGCGAGCATGTTCTTCTCAAGTGTGTGTTGCAAGCTGCACGTTAATTCCCTTGGTCCTGGTCCCCAGTTCCTGCTACTTGTCCGCCTGTGTTCGCAATGACGATCGAAAGGATGACTCAGTCCTTACACACACACACACACACACACACATATATATATAAATATATAGCGAGGGTACACTCAATCAATTAACGTATTATTATCGGGCCATCGTCGGACGTGGCTGAATCTGAACTTAACGTTCTATAAACGGTAGTAAAACGTAAAACACTGGAAGACTTTACAATGCCAGAAGTATTATTCATAATTTCAGAGATCACACGCCGTATCTCGTGATTAGGGATACGCCACCTAGGAATCCTAAAAATCATAGGGCTATATATATACACACTTCTACGTTCTTCACAGATGGACATTGATTTTACATTAATAACATAATCCGAATGACAAAAGCTATTTGGGATGCTGCAAAGATCGTGTTCAACAGTCATATACGACAAATTGCGTGATTTATCAAAATCGTGATCATTGTTCGTCCAGTTTTACTCAATAAATGCAAATTTCCGAGCGTGATTCGCGAGAGAGTTTTAAGTCAATAGATCTCAATTATCGTGCCTAAATTAACGACAGTAAAAAGATCTACGAAGAAGGAAATTAATTTCTCTACGATCCATCTATTCATCGTGCATTTTAGCGCAACACAGCGTTTTTTTTTTTTTTACCTGAGATACGAATGAATCGTTATGTGAAAAAAGAAGACATTAGAATGTACAAATGTATAACCTTCTTCTTTTTTTTTATATATCAAGGGTTTTTAAAGGATTGAGTAGAAAACGATCCTCTTCATTTATTTTCCACTTCCTCGGACACTTTTCGTTAAGTCCCGATGACAAAAAATCAATTGTGCCTTTGAGAAAACAGTGACGCCTATTCTTTGGCAATGTGTAGAATAGTTTCTTCCAGATAGCTTCTAAGCTTGTAGCTTGTATACGCGATTATGTGAGACAAGGCAGTGATCATAGCACGTGATAGAGTTTTCTATTTTCCCATCTAACAAGTTGCACCCGACGATCCGGTTTAGTTAACTGAACTTCAGTTAGCTAACTGAATTCATATTTAATGCTTTAGACTATCCTCTTTTAAAGATTATAGTTCTATCCGTGATATACATACATACATATACATATATATGTAATATGTATGTACAAATGCAGAACGATCATGCGAAACAGATTGAATCCGATCAGATGTACTCGTGGGTACGTTCGCAAAACGCCGAAGTTCCATCGAAGTTTGCCTTAAAGAGATATAAATTCTTGATTATTTCATGTACTATCTAGTACATATTACTGGCGAAAGGTAGAGGAAAAAATATCTAGAGAGAGAGAGAGTGAGAGATTGCGGAATATATATATAAAAATTTATAAATATATAAAAATATGTGTACCAAAAAAATTTCTTTTACATAGCCAATGAGATTTGCCAAGAGGTGGATTCAACTCGTTTTGCGTCATCGTTCCTCGAGAGTAGGAAACGAAAGTTTAACCAGAGTTAATGTATTATATCGACGCGCCGAGCTCTCTCAAGTTTTTCGCAGACATTAACGATCTCCGGGTCGTTATATGTATTATATATGTTTGCCTAAAGTGACTCGTGCGTTCGTCAATGAGATAATCAATGTCCGTACAGAAACGAGCTAGGAACGCTACAGCGGGCTATCTTACATGTCTGAGAGATATCTCTAGTTTTTTTCGTTTCGGCTTGCTTCGGTTTACAAACTACGAATGCCACTTCCGGTTTGCGAATAGAATTCTGAATCCTTTTCCATCGGACCACGCCGCCGTGTGTCGCGGCGTGACATCTCGTAAAGTAAAACACCGCTCGTCCTTACAGAAACGGGTCTCCGCGTCGAAGATCTATCGAATGTACAAAGCGCCCCTCTTTTCGTTTCTCTCCCCCTCCCCCCTGGGCAAACCTTAGAAATGTCGGCTCCTGCAAATACGGAATCTCTTGCACCGTGCGGATCCCAGCAGATCGATTCCCAAGCTTCGCGACGAGTGTAGCATCTCTCTTTTTTTTTCTTTTCTCTATTACGTATCGCAGTGTATGCACGCTTTTATTTCTCTCTCTCTTTCAGCGCTAAATCAACGCGGCTTTGTCTGAAATCACATTCACACGATGCTCTGTATATTGAACACATATTGCATATATTGCGTGTGTGAGCGTGTGTGTGTGTGTGTCTGTATATGTGTATTTACATTTATCTAATGCATTTACTATTATGCATCTGTTTGGAGAGTGCAGCTCTTTAGCGGGTGCATTTCTTTTTAAATCCTATTAGAAGAGAATATAGCGAATGTCATTCCGCTAACATCTATCTCGACTCCGCCGTCGTACTACTGACCTCTTCGTCGGCGGCAGCCTGGGTGGTGCCCGCCGGAAGCGGCTGCTGCTGCGCCTGCATGGGAGGAGCGGCTCCGCTCGCCGCTGTGCTCGACGCACCCCCGTGAGGCGACGGGGCCGCCTGTTTACCGTACTTAACGGTATCCTGCTGCTGCGGTGCTGCGCTTTGCGACTGCAGTTCCGGTCGCCGGAGGTACGCGGCCGCCTCCTTTTTCGGCGGTACCACGGGCTTATTCGGTGGTACCGGGGGCGGCACGCCGCGCGAGACCGGGGGCTTTTTCGCGGGCAGGATACCACCGCCGCCGCCGCCACCACCACCACCACCACCGGCGGCGGCGGCGGCGGCGGCGGCAGCGGTTGCTTGAGCAGAGGGGCTGCTGGCGGCAGGACTTGAAGACTGGCCGACGTGAAAGCCGAGCTTCCCCGCAGCGGCGACGGCGGCTTGCGACGACGTGATAAGCTTAGCCGCGGCGGCGGCCGCGGTACTAACGGGCGCAGGTACAACCGGTCGCTTGTCTACGGCCTGAGGAAGGAACACACAACCATGACCGATTTCAGAGTGCACCGGGGGCACCGCGGAGACGGTCGCTTTCGCACACGCGCTCTCCGCCGTTCAGAGACAAGAACGAGCACATCGTTAAAAAAATAAAGAAAAACGTTATTCTCGGGCTGCAATAGGGGGGGGGGGGGTGGCGGTAGAAAAAGAAACCATACCATAAGGAACTAATCCAAAGCAGAGAAACAGAGACAGAGCAACTCGGAAAGTATATAGGGACGATAGCTACGAAAAAATTCAGTCAAGACCGAAGAGGGAGGAGAGAGAGAAAGAGAGAGAGAAACACCGTTATTTAAGCAGCAAACGATCACAACTCAGGCCGAGATTCTCGAGATGCTGAAACCAAATTGTGCGTATGTCATCAATTCGTGTGCTGTTAATAGATAATTGCGAAAAATAATAGGGGCACCTTTCACGGCATACTCGCAAATCATCAAAGACTAAGACTTGTTTGAGACGCAGTTTGAGCTACACAACCAAGAAATAATACGTATTAGTAAAACTTAATATACGCGACAGATCTTCAGAGAATATACAGAAAGAGTCAAATTTTTGGAAAATAAATATTTCAATCTGCAGACTGTATTGAGATGTTTTCGATATAACGATCTGGCCAAGTGTTCTACTTGTTAAGATGTACTGCAAACCAACTAAAATAGTAGAGTACCGTCAGAGTCCGTGAGACCGTAAGACCGTATAATTTAGTAGTAGCGATTGCGCTATTGCGATTAGGAAGTCAAGCTGGGGCAATTTGTAAATAAAGCTCAGAAATGAGTTGCATACAATCTTTTTTTTTTTAATTGTAGGAATCGGTCGATGTACACATGTGAAATAATAATAATTTTATGTACACAAAATAAAAGTATCGTAATAAAATATAATTCTAGGTATCGGTAATGTGCTAACTTATAAGATCGGAATATATAGTGGAAGAGAGTGTGTGTATGTGTGTGTATGTGTTAGTGTAATATTGTGAGTGTACAAACACTGTTACATTAAACCTTTTAAATAAATCGTGTACGTGAACGTGTACATAAAAGTATATACATGTATAATGTAAAACAAACTTGTTGAAAATAATTTTGCGGATATTTATAGCGATCTTATTCGTGAAGCAACGGTTTCTTAAACTTCAGTGCACCATCTGATCTGAGCGATAGAAGTGGCGAGAATATATTCCAATGCGACAGAAATTTTGTGCATAAAATATAAAATTATGTATGTACAAGCCAAGAACAGTGTTATTTAGAACAAGCGAAACTCACTTTTCTAATTTAGTTTTATAATTTATTCCAATTTAAATGTGTTTGAATTAAATTTATTCCAATTTAATATGCAAAATTCAATATTACTCCACATGAAGATTTCTGTATTGTTATATAGATTTAACAATGCAGAAATATTTCGTTTTTTTTTCTTTTTTTTTCTTTTAGTCAAATGCTATATGAAAAGAACGTATAACAAATTATCAAAGTGTATACGTGTTTTCATTAAAAAAAAAAAAAAAAATTAATAAATACATATGATATCTGCTTTTTTAAATTTAAAAAAAAAGATGAATATTAATTGTAATAACTATACAATTGCAATAAATACATGACTAAAGTGCGATACATTTATGACCTATAGAAATATGGAAGTAAGACATATAAGACTAGAGAAAAGCTTATAAAATGCTCGTGTAAAATCAATAATAAAACGAATGCATTATTTCTACTGAAGTAAAGCTATGAAGTGATGTAATATATATATTACTCGTTAAATAACTTTTTTTAATACACGATTTTTCACGATGTTTCAATTGCGTTGTCAAAGATCATAAAATAGCTCTTTTAAAAAAAAAAGGAAATAATTAAAGATGCGCAACATAAATATTTCAACGATTTCGAAGACATGTAAAATTTCTTCAATCATTAATTAAGACTTAACATCTATATCAATGGTATATACTGTGCTCAGGGAATTATTTTCCAAATTTAAACTTTAAGTATGTCTCGAGTTATAAAGAGCCTACTTACAATATTAATTGCAATCTTACTAGTGAAGTTCTATGTTTCTACTTTAGAAAACAAAAACATCCTTATCTGTCTCGTACAATTTACGTATGAAATTTTCATTCGTCTCAATTTTTGAATATCTAACACGCAAATTTATATATCGATATCCTATATCGAATTAAAGCTATATAATCCCTATCTTTTTCAGATAAAACACAATACTGACTAAATTAGCTGATTCCTATCCCTAACTAAATTTTTCTATCGTTCTAATAATAAATTGTTTATAAGTTGTAGTCTCCTTTTGTCCTTTCCTCTCCCTTTCAAGAAAATACTAGCAAAGTGCAAATACTCCTTATCGTCAGATATAAAAATATCTATTGTGTGTGTAACACTTTGCATGTATAAATAGGCTCTATATAATCTTTAGATTAACGTCGAGTGTGTAGGGAAATGTGGATAGGTTACCTGCGTATCTGGAGGAGCTGTAGCCTCTCCACCCACAGATGTTAAATTAGGCGTATATGCGACTCCGCGAAGTGCCTGTCCAGGTGTTACAGACCTAGCAATCCCAGTCGCTAAAGGAAAAACAATAGTAATTATAGTAATTATCATTTTAAATTTTATCATTTGAAATGGCTATGCAATTTCAGTTTTAAAACTGATTTAAATGTTCACGTATAAGATATGTAATGTAATTTGTATTTTATCAGAGAGCTCACATTTAAACACAAGATTCAATTTAGATATATGATATAATAAAATTTTATCATTTGAACTGGATATGCAATTCAGTTTTGAAACTAACTAAATCTTCACATATAAGATGTAATTTGTATTTGATCAGAGAGCTCACATTTAAACACACGATTCAATTTAGATATATTCAAAATGTAGATTTGTTAAATTTTCTATAACATATGAGATATTTAAAAAATCTTACTTGGTCCACTGACAGGAACACTGGATACTGTCGCAGTAGGTTGAACAACTTTACTGCTAACCATAGGTGTCCCTGTACCCAAGACTGCTCCTTTCACTGTGAAAAATGTCAAAAATTATAAGAAGTTCCTCTTTACATGCTACGCATATTAAAGACGATCTTGTAATCTTTCAAGAATCCTTTCATTATTCATACTATATTCATATTTAAGGGATCTCCTTTGATGTGCGTAACTTCTATTTTTATAAAAACGCTGCGTGCAATAACGCACTTGCTTGTGGAGCACTAGCCGGCCTGAGCGTCGGCATGGCGACCAAGTTCGCTGGTTTTGCGGGCGGTGGTGGTGGAGTTGCGCCAACTCCCCTCGCAGGGCCGCGTGCCTGCGACTCCTTCCACGTGTCCATCTCGGCTCGTAACTTTTCCAATTCCGTTTCGAAATCCTTCGCTCTCTTCTCCTCCTTCACGAGGGCCTGCCGATACTGCTGCCTCTCCATGTCGAACTGCGCCAATTGCTTCTCCAATTCCGCTTCCATCTGCAGTGACTTTTTGCTCTCCTCCTCGAGGCCCTCGGCCATCGAATCTATCCTCACCTTCTCCTCGCTGAGTATCTGAGCCAAATCCTCGGATCGTTTCCTCTCCTCGATGTACTTCATAATAATCTTTTTACGCTCCGCTAAAAGGAGAAGTACTATCTGCTTCTGTCGGTTCTTCTCTTCCTCGAGATGGTCGTTGATCTTCTTTAATTCCATCTCCAATCTCTTCTTCTCCTGTTTCTCCAATTCCAGCTCCTTCTTTAATCTCGTCCGCTCTTTCTCAAGACCGTAGGTGATATCGTCACCTTGAGCGGTGTCGTGCTCGTGTTTCCGCTTCTCCTCCTCCAACTCTTTAATTACCTAAAGGTATTCATTAACAGTATAACAATACAACTATAAAACAACGAAGCACGCGACACGAGAACAAATACGAGAAAAAGTGAGATACGTACCGATCTGTGCCTAATTTCTGCGTCTCTAAGAACTTTAGTCATCCTACATTGCGCCTTTCTCTGCTGCGTCACCAGTGCCTCAAGACTAGCGACTTGTTGATCGATTTGATTTCCTTCTATGCCAATGACACCACCTACTATCGCAATGTCGCGAGCTAATGCCGCGTGTGGATCTGCGGTGCTACTAAGATACCGGGAACTTAGAAGGTGTTTCATCTTTTCTGACTGAAAGGAAGAACGATGACACAGTTATACAGCAAGTCGAGTGACCATTATGTAATACAAGTCTGGAAGAGTTAGGAGGTAATACGATTAAAGAGCTTGGAAGATTAACACGTTTTTCAAATAACCCTCCAACTTTTATACTATAATTTAAATGACAACGAAATAAGTTTCGAAACAAAGAAGAATATGAAATTTCACTATGTATGTTTTACAGTTGTTGTTCGATAATTTTACACGTGTTATACTGCCCAAGCTGGCAAATTTGCTACAGTTATAAAAGAGGACACGGGACGCTTCTAAACACGATTTTGTAATAACAGTTAAACTTTGATTACTTTTAATGCCGCTATCACTATGTCTCTCGCTTGGAGCTCGCCTTCCAGGTATCCCAGTAACTTCAGCAAATCAGTTTTGTTCAGCTCCATCTTTGGATTACGCTACAAATATGTGCAAAGCCATCGTTAAAAACATTCGCACACACACACACACAAATCTATATTAAATACAACAATCACAGTTTATCGGACGCCGCAAAACCCTCGCGCCATTTAACTCCAAAGCCAAAGGAGGATGTGTACCTTCAGAGTATTGGAGGAACTCTTGTCCAACGGTTCGATGTTGTTGGCCGGCTGTAACTGCTGCTGCTGGGACTGCGACGGCTGAGCGCCGGGGGCGAGGGTCTGCGCCTTCGCGGCCGAGATGGTGGCCGCGCTGGCCAGGACGGTGGAGCCCGGCGACGGCGCCGACGTCGACGGCGGCCCGTTCGCCGTCATCGTCATCGTCGTCGTCGTCGTCGTCGTCGCTGTCGTCGCCGACGTGATACCGGGCGAGGTGACGTTGACGGCGCCCTGATTCTGCGATGCCATCGTTTCCGCGCGCGCGCTCCGTCCGCGTGAGGAGGAGTGACTTATTTATTCACCTGCCGCCCGACGACGACGTCGACACAAGCGTGCGCGCGGTTGTCGTTGTCGCGTTGTTCGGCTGCTCCGCTGGAAAGCGCGGCTCACGGAAAGGGGGAGCGAACCTCTTGCTAGTGAAAACTCGCGTCGCTCGCCACGCTGCTCTCGCTCGCGCCGAGCCACGGGTGCCTGAGCGCGCCCCCGAGCTGCTGCTCCTCACGTCGACGACTTCCTCACCCCTCGATCCGGTGATCCGCCACGGCCGTCACGGGACGCGCGGGCACCCCCGCCGGACACCCAGCGGCCCAGGACACTCGCCGCATCGCCGACACGGGACCGACGGCCGCGCGTTTCCCACCTTCCCGTCGTCGTCGTCGTTGTACCTCTCCCCGTCCACCTCGTCCTTCCGCCCGTCGTCGTCGTCGTCGTCGTCGTCGTTGTCGTCGCCGTCGACGTCGCCCGTCGTTCCCTCGTCGCCGGTTACCTCGGGTCCGTCACTCGGGTCGTCGGATCGGCCGCGTCACGGCCGACGAGAACAGTATTAACGTGGCGGCATCCGGCGCGGCGGGCCGCTCTACCTCTCGCGCTACGCTACGCCACGCTACGCTCGTCCCCTTGACAAATCAAGCGCACAAAGCGCAGCCCAACTCTCCACAGTCCACACACACACGACGGCACGGGGCCAAGCGAGACAACTCGATGGATCGGTGTCGTCCGTCCCCCTCGTGAAAGGCGCCCCCTCGCTCCCAGCCGAGAGATCTACCGTCGATTCCGCGGCGCCGGGTCGAGGATATCGAACGGTCGACGTCGACCTCGAGTCGAGTCGCGCGCGGCGAAAATGGCGAAATACGAAACGCCGAAAGCGCGCGTCGTCGCCGCTTAGGACCTCGATCGCCGTCCGTCCCTGATCCTATCCGCGTCCTCTGCCTTTTCTCTCTTTGGATTTTCCAATTCGTCAACGATATCTCGATGATCTTTATTAAACCACAAAATCCTATGCCAGCCTTCAGTGAATCGTAAACGAGACTTAATTAACGGTGGTACCGATAATTGGATATCGGCTGCAGAGAATTAAGTCAATTAAGGGAGATAAGAAAATTGAAAGAAAGAACGGATGTATATAGTACGATCGAAAGAAATGACATCTGTATCCGTTGCCCTTTTTGGGTCAATTATACTCGTTACATCACGAACTAATATCGCAGAAAAATTGTACCCCCTAACCTAACATAACCTCAATGATTTTTCCGAAGAAAATCCCGCGAATTCCTGTGTCACGATGAATTCCTGAAAATTCTGCAGATTGAATCGATTGTACCGACTAACTTAATTGTGAGGATTAATCTTGCTCATTTTTGCCAATCGTGTCAAATCAGGTAATCGATAAAACCCTCGGTTTAAATTTTCTCTTTTTCGCTCTCCTAGGAATGCAAAAATAAGATTAAGATAGACTGAACCGCGAGATTGAAGTTAAACATCGGTAGAAACGGATGTTTACCAAGCAACGCCTGCACTTCGTTGTAATACGCGGAAAGAAGCTTCACATTAATAACAATTTGACATTCGAAAAAAATCTGTCGCGCCGTCGAAAACGGAATACGGTGGCTCTCGGGCGGCCGCGGATAATAAAGGCCGCCTCACCGCGACGACATCTATCGCCCTTACGATTTACGACGTCGAGGGGGACAAGACCGAGCAGAAGCTACGGCGGGAGGGTAGGCTGCGGGAAGGAGCGAGAAGTGGGGAGGGAGAGGACGTTGTCGTCGCGGGCCGCCCGTCGTGTGTCGGATGCATATGGTGCCCGTGCGCGCGTTTGTTGTCGCGGATGTTGTGCGGACGGTGCTGCGGGTGCTAGTCTCGGGTATAGTCTCCCCGTCCTCCCCCTCCCCCTCTTCCCCTCGCCCCGCCCCCTCGCGGTGCGCAGCGCAGGATGGGCAACCAGGTGGCACGCGTCGGACACGCGTCGCACAAGAAGGTGGAATCGGCGACCGCGGCGGACCGCGCCGGTAACGGGAATCACGGAAGCACGAACGTCTCCTCCGCCACCTCCGCCGTCTCCAGGAGCGAGCCGGACCACCACAACTCTCACACGCAATTCTTGCCGATCGAGAGCCTCGCCAAGGTACAAACGGTCCGCCTCCCCCCCCCCCGGGCCGTTTAAAACTTGTTCTCGCCACCCCAGTAGTGGGCCACCAAAATCGGCTTGGTGTCCTGGAAAATCGTTGGGGGAAAACGTGGAGGCGATACTACACGTTCTCTCTCTCTTTCTCTCTCTCTCTCTCTGTTGTCAAAACATCTCTACTAGGCTGTGTTTTGGGGAGCAACGACAAAAACGCAGCCTCTTACCTGCCTCAGGCTCTACGAGGATTATTTTCCTCACGTTGATACTTTGCGACTCGTGGAAGTCGTTTCCACGGGTCTTCCACTCCTCTTGCAACTATTTATACTTTGAGTATTAAATTTTGATCACGATTCTCCAAATATTCCGAGAGAAATCTTATATCGTTTTCTCTGATGATGTAAGTTAATTTCTGAAATCTGAAAAGACATTTATTTTGATTGGATAATTATATAGAGGTCGAATAACTCATAATATAGAGTCAAATAATTCATTTTTTTTATCAAGACTCTTGACATTAAAAAAAAAATCAAATGACCAAGATTATCCAAAGATTGTTCGTAGAAACATATTGTGCTTGGGGATGACTATGGGATTATGGAATTAGAAAATCGAACAATTGCTCTTTTGATTTGTCTTATTTTAAAACTCCAAAACCTTCCACAACTCCTATATCCATTACGTTATTTCGCATACAGATTAGTAGCTATATATCTTATACCTGACCAGCTGTTATCAAAAGCTAGCGTTACCCGACTTATTTATATAATAGAAACATATATACCGTGTATGCATATAATTTTTTTCCTTTGCAAGCTGCAGAAGTTATTTTTGCTGCTTATATATCCTTGGTCTGATATATTTAATGGATTTTTTTTTTGCAAACACAAGTGTAAAAAATAATTAACATTTCTTTGAATAAATTTTAGTGGTATTCCAACACTGACATGTAAATATTTTCTCTTTTTCAGATACTGTCGCATCTTGCCTCTCAAGAGGAACACGTTAACGGCATTACCAAGTCTGTATTCGAACGGTACTTATTTCCTACTCATCCCGAACTGAGTGAGAAGCTGTTCAATCATCTGCACCACAATGCCCACGCCACGACCGTGTACTTAAGTACAACAGCTTTCAAGCAGCAATCCGAGAAGTTTCTGTCGGTAATGAACGACCAAGCTATCCTGGAGAATTACATAAAGATGTACTCCGACGGTGGCAACGTGACTCCCGACACGCTGCGGGCGTTACTGACGTCCTGCTACCAGCTGGCGATGGAAAACAACAGTACCAGTTCGTGCCTTCACTCGCAACAGATAATAAACGCAGTCGTTGTTTCATGTGTTAGTAAAATTTATTCGTTCAGTGCAGCATAAGCCTTTATATTACATTTGTCCGTTTTTACGACAAAGATTTCAAGTCTATTGATTGGCTATAAAATAGAGAAATCCATACAACTTCTCTTTCTTGCAGTCAACCAACAGGCTTGAAATACTTTGTCGTACGGCAAGTGTAATACCGGCCTAAATGTGTGACCGGAATTTCATTATTACACATGTAATCATATGTAATCATTCGCACGAGTAACATGGTATATCTGCATCGGTCGACCTGAATGAATAATTCATGCATGCGATCTGCGCTTACTAGCTCTTGGAATGCTTTACAGTTTCACGGCAAGACCAGCTTGTCGACGAGTTACGTGAGCAATTGGATCGGGCAGCACTGCCCACGCCTGGTGTACGGCCTGCAGCGATACGTGATACACGTGCTAACGACTGCCTACCGCAACGGTAAAGCGCTACTGTCGAAGGGGCAACCGCAACCCTCCGTGGATATACTTACCCCCGTGTTGGAAAAGTCCGATCGAGAGTTCCCGCAGGCGGACTTGTTGCCGATAAGCTATGTCTGGCTGCTGTCGTGTACGTTGCCGCAGTGCTACCTCCAGGTACGTTGTCACACAGAGTACTCAGTATTAATTATCGATATACTTTAATTACGTCCTGCCTGTAGAAGTATTTTTTTTCTTTTGCACAAAGAAATTAATTATTATTGCCGATGTAAGCCTAGTAATGTACGGATATAACCGGATCTACGTATCTATGTTGCGTGGTGTGTATGTGTAGACCAACGATTCACCGAAGGACATAACTCACGCTTTGATAGCCAGAAGAACAGGCAGTATTTGTCCAAGGCATTGGACGTTACTGTACGATAGCGGAGAGCACGGGGCCGGGGCTAATCGCTTCCTTCACCATGTATTAGGTTACAGAGGTCCGACTCTGCTAATTATAAGAGCCGCTAGCGTAGAGAGCGACGGGGAGTGTCCGACGTATTGCGTGTGCTCGGCCGTCGAGTGGCGTGAGAGTCATCTCTATTGGGGCGACGAAGACTCGATGGGCGTGCAACTGATTCCGTCCTATAAAGTCATGGCGAAAGGACCGAAAGTGCTTTACCTGAACACGAATATCAGGGGCTACCCGCACGGCCTGCGATTCGGTAGCGATCCACGCTCGCCGCTTATCAGTATCGACGAGGCATTCCACTCGGTGTCCATCGCCGGCGCGCCCTATCGCATCGCCAGCCTGGAGGTCTGGGGTTGCGGCGATACGAAGCTGAGGTAATGTCTTGCCAACTTTATATATATATAAAGAAATTAAATTGACGCAACCGCGATAACGAGAGACGCTATTGCGTTTTTGTGCAGGGAGAAGCAATTGGAGATCAAGAAGTGGCAGGTGAAAGAAGCGGAGAAACAGAGGGTCGTGAAATTAAGCGCGAGCGATTGGCTGGACCATCCCGATCGTTACTTACTAGAATTGGCTGGCAGAGCGTCTTACAACGAGTCTAACAATTAGAGCACGCACGATTGATAACGCGCGTGCTCAAATAACTGCTCATATTTACTTTTTTTTTCTCTCTTTGTACATATGTATATAGCGGCAAAGATGTTATTATCACCGGAATTTCTGTACTTATATATGTCGCGTACGAGGAACGTACGCATGAAATGTGATTATGTGACTTACGTGAAATACAGGGACTTATGCTTGACGTACTTAAGCACAAGTGCCAGTTTGTAATTGTCTATTTATTTTTCTTTTTTTCAGTATTTCCTTGTGAAACGATGTTATTTTTTTTTTATATTTTATAAATGCTTTTCGTTCAGCGAATTTTTTTATGAAAGGATTATTTTTTTAAAAGTTTCTTCTAAAAATTAAAAAAAATTTGTTTTAGAAATCGTATTTTTGCTCGATTTTCATAAAATATCTACGAATTTGACTTTAATAATCAGTGCGAAAACGGTCTTTTGATGTTTATATAAAAAGAAAAACTTGAATATATATATTAAATTGAAAATAAATATATTCTTGTACAAAATCCCGTACATACTTATATCACATATATCGCAAGACTCGTCGATTGTATATTCGATGCAAGCGTAATGCTACTTTATAAAACATAACAAAACTTGAGTATTATTTCATTTTTAGCAGTCTTTTTCATTGTCATTCGATTAGAATTCTTTGAATTCTTTGTCGCGAGTGTCAATTCTACGAATGAGTTTTTTCCAGCTGAAGTCTTCCTCGCCGTCGCGCAGATTTATCACGTTCTTCTCGTCGATGACGTCAAACAGACTTTTAAACGGCGTGTATCTCAGTAACGTGACTTTATCAGCGATTATTATCAGCTTGTGCCTCGCGCGAGTAATCGCTACCGTCAGACGTCGCTGATCGTCCAATATCTCGAATTGCTTCTTTTTATCGCATTCGACACTCTTCGTGCACGAGTACAGTATAACGTCCTTGTCGCGCCCTTGATACTGGTCCACGGTGTTCACTTCCACTTCCTTGTCTATGATCTTTCTCAATAAATTTATATGAGCGTTGTAAGGTGCGATGATTCCTATGTTTCTAGCGCACACGCCCGCCTCGGTGAGCACCTGGACGAGACGCGACGTAATGGCGACCTCCCAGATGTTGGAGTACGCCTGATCCGACGTGACGTTTCCGTCGACGGACTCCTCGTTCAATTTGTAAGTGCGGCCGGTATCGAGCAGCACCACCGAGTCGTCCAAGCTGCCGGAGAGCGCGCTTCTTATCCACCTCTCGCAGGACGCGAGCACTCGCTCCATGTTCGTGCCCGTCAAAGTCGCGTTCTCCACCTGCCTGCTGCCCGACACCAGCTTGCCGCGATACGTCGCGTCGTTGGCCAGCCTCATGATCCTCCCGTTCATCCTGTACTGCCTCCACAGATTGACGGTGCTGTCGTCGCCGTCCAGCCTGACGAACAGGGACTCGTCCGCGCCGAGGCTCGCGGCGGTTCGGCTCTTGACGACGGGCGGCAGCTGATCCGGGTCGCCGACGAGGACGAACTTGCGCGCGCTGTACAACGGCCGCAGCACCGTGGGCTGCATGATTTGCGCGCTCTCGTCGACGACGCACACGTCGAAGGTGCGCCTGCGGAGGAGCGCGTGATAAGCGCCGTAGCAGGTCACCCCGACGATCCGTTTGCCGTTGTAGAGCGTCTCCAGGTCCTCCGGCGTGTCGCAGCTCGCGATCGCGTACTCCTCGCTCTTGCACGTCAACAGGGGATGGATCTGCTTCGTCGAGCCGAGACGCAGAAAGTCGATGTCCCGTTCCAGCAGCTTGAGAAGAACGTTGTCCACCGCGCTGTGCGTGTGCGCGGTGATCAGCACGCTGGAGCCCAGCTCCAGCAGCAGCTCTATCAACGCGACCAGCGTCTGCGTTTTCCCGGTGCCCGGCATACCCTTTATCAGAACGTAGTCGTGGGCGGCCACCGCCTTCAGCACCGCTCTCTGCTGATTCTCGTTCAGATCGCTTATTATCCGGGCGCCAGCCGACACCGTCGAGCGCGGCAGTTTTTCCACGAACGTCGCCGGCCTCCTGTCGATGACGACGCGTCGAAGCTTGACGCTCGTCTCGTCGTTGCTCAACAGACCGGCCACGTTCGCGTAATTGAACGTCGCCAGACCCGTGGAGGGGTATTTGTCAATGTGGAACGTGGAATTTGGGTAAAGTCGCGTAATATCCTTGTCCAGCAGGACCGCGACGACGTCATGCGAAACGTACATTATATGCCCGGCGGCTATATTAACTCGTGCATCCGTGCTAACAATAACATAATTATCCTCGGCGAACGCGCCGCCGAACGTGCCGTTCTCGACGGTCTCCCCCTTGATGTTGACGCGTGCAAATTTGTGCCGATACCTGTCGCCCTGCTCCACCACCCTGCCGACGATCTTCACGTTGCAGATACACGTCCCCCTCGTCTCCCTCTTCTCGGGACTCGTCGTCCATACGCTGCTCAAACTGCTGCTATCGTTCTCGTGACTCTCCTCCAGTTGCAACAACGCGATCCACTTCATAACGTAATCCAAATGCCTGGTCTCGACGCTGTCCCGCAGCTCCTTGATTAGCGCCGTCAGCGGATGCGACGGCGACAGATTCGCGTTCGCGTCCCTCGCCAGATACGCGCAGCACAGATTCCGATAGGGACAACTGTCGCACGCGCTGTGATGATTTATCGGCTCGGGCAGCTCCATCGCCCTCAGGTCCGCCGCCGTGTCTACGCCCTGCAGGTCTTCCGGCTTCCTGGCGAAGTAATGCGCCAGGGTATTCCGCAGCAGTATCAAGTCCCTCTTCTCGTTATGCCCGCTCCTAATTTCCCGCATCGTATTTTCCTTCAGATACAACAGAAGCCCGGTGTCGATGTCGCGATCCCTGAAGCCCATCATCATGAGATAGAGAATAACCTGGCCCTTGTGCTCGAGCGAGTAGGAGGCCCTTCCGGTTTTCACCTCCAGCGGCATGATCTTCCGCCTCGAGTCGATATTCACCTCCGCCGTCACGTCTATCCTCCCCTTTATGCCGAGCTTCGGTATGTAAACGCTCTCCTCGATGTCCCGCACGCTGTCGATGCTACCCCGAAAGTTGTCCCTCAGATCGCTTATGCGCCGCTGCCTGTTACCCCTGACGTAATGCTGAATGAACTCGAAAATTCTCGGTGCGTACTCCATCATGCGCTTCCGGCACTCCACGAGCGACAGCTCCGACGCGTAGAGATAGTCCAGCGTGTCCTTCGATCGCAGTATATCGTCCAGCAGCCTGATCACGTCGGACAGCACGCAGATGTTCTCGCGCAGTGCCTTCTGCAGCCACTGATGAACCAGCGATCCCACGGTCATCACGGAATAATCGCCGTGCAAATTCGGCAGCGACTCTATCTTCCGGAACTTCTCGGCCAGCACCGCGCGCCTTCTGCAAAATAAACCCCCGGTCACCGTCGTGCCCGATATCAACAGGTCGGGCTGCGTGACGAGGAAACCGTTCTTGTCATCCACAATCCACCGCCGCGAGCCATCCCTCGCGGCCTGTATCGTGACGGTGTCGTTGACCCTCACTCGCGCGTCCTTCCAAAATCCCGAACATGCAACGGTGTCGATGTTCTCGGACTCGAGGTGCTGCACCGTCAGTACGGTGACTCTCGACTCGTGCCTCACGTCGACTATCTTACACCTCTGCAGGGTGGTGAGGTCGACCTGCGGATGCCACTCCTGATCGAAGAAGTCATCGAGCTCGTCCCCGTTCATCATCGTTGAAAAATCTTCGAAGGCATCTTCCGCTTTTTTTAAATCGTGCACCTTATCTCTCCTCTGCCTGGTCATCTCCAGCGTGGACAGGGACGACTTTGGGGCAACGGTGTTCAGGTCTTGCTCCTTAAGAACATGAGTGACGTCCGAAACGTTCGTACCTTTAATACCGGCAGAATTTGGTAAAGCACTCCCATTCTGCTCGCTCTTCGCCGCAGCGTCTTCCTCCTTTTTGTTAGTTTTCTGTAACACCGCATCCTCGCATGCCACTCGATTTTCCTTAAACCTACTGTACGGTTCCTCGAGGTCTTTCAACGCGGACAACAATACTGAATCCTCCTGCGATTCGAAATTTTCCTTTTTGTTAGTTTTCTGTAACACCGTATCCTCGCATGCCACTCGATTTTCCTTAAAACTACTGTACGGTTCCTCGAGGTCTTTCAACGCGGACAACAATACTGAATCCTCCTGCGATTCGAAATTTTCTGCCCCTGCAGCATGATGTTCTTTCAACGGTTCTTCGCTCGCATTACGTTTCTTCTTGGCGCTCACGCGGAATTCCTCGTCGAACGCATTATCCCGTTCCTTCCTTTTTTTCTCGATCGAAGCCTGAGATAAGGAATTTACATCTGACACAATCTTATCGTCGCTCGCCGCCGTCTTTGGAACTTTCATAAAGAACGATGATATCTTTGTCTGTGATTTACCGATGACATCGGCGGCAGAGATCTGTAAGCAAACAGAGAGAAGGGGTAGTTCACATAAATTTATTTTTTTAATCTGCTTTCATTTACATAAATACAAACCGCTAATTCATCGCTGTTTTCTATTATATACAAGTGTGTTAAGTGCCGTAAATTTATTCTACAGTTCAGAGTTGAAAGAGACACGTTAAAGTGCAGTATTATTATTTTTTTAACGGAAAAGAGAAGAAGAGGAGTATAAAAGGACGAAAAGATAATATCAGCACAGCAGTCGCAAATAAGTAAGTAAAGCATAATTTTTCTTCCTCACCTTTTTCTGTGATAATTGACGCTTCTTCATGTTTGCGTGTAATTCGCTCGAATTACTCGAACCGGCTCTGCATGTATCTCTCGTATATATCAGTCTAAAGTGCCATTAACTTACAGCCTAATACGCGTCTTAAACACAATCGGATCTTAAATCTCAAGTCCCACAAGTCTTATCACATGACACAGTATTATCGTTCCCGCGTAAACGTTCCACATGGACATCGCCATCTTAAACAGCGGATTTCGTAAACAAGCATATGGATATGTTCCTCCGAAGACGGTGCATGCACAAGGGAAATCCACATGGGAGCGGAAAAGCGGGCACCAATCAGAAGTTGCATTGGCTGCCAGCCGCAAGTTCGGCTAGCTCGACGCTGATTGGATCTGACAGCTGGAAACGCAACGTTTGCGGCGGGGACTGCGAACGTGACCGCAACGCATGCGCAGTTCGCTATATCGTGCCGCTCAAGTTTCGCAGCCTGAATAGTGACAGACGTCTTCATGTTTACGCCCGGCGTCGAGCGACGCTTTCAAATGCAAGATTCTCTCGTTTCGTGCAAAAACGCGAAATACGAATGAGTATAATTTGATCGATTTTCGAGGTAATGCATGCTAGTCTAAATAATTACTCGTATTTCTACGATTCGATCTCCAAGAGCTCGCCATGATTCTTCAGTATTAAAATAACCTAAAATCCGTATTTATGTGTATAAGGTCCATTTTAGTAGGGAAAATAAAATTTAAGAACTTCTGCAGATATATATCTTTATGTTACGTGATAAATTACATAGAATTCCGTTTATAAAATAAATATTTTTAATTTTCACAAATTTAGACGTCCTTTTGACGGTCCAACGGGAATTACAGTCGTCTTGCATCGTATACGAACCGAATTGCCTTTAATTGTTGGCTCTGCAATTCAGAGGGAACAAACAACTTGTATTCCGAGTTTGATAAAGAATGCGAATAAGAGATTTTATATTGCAGCTACTAAACTTACCTTCATAAAAAGGAAACTTCAAGTCTAATCGTTAACTAGATAAATCTCTCATTGCTGGCCCAGAATTGATATTAATTTCTTCTGAGTGTCATGTAACATCTTTTCTTTATTATCGAGAAATCTTCGGGTCGCCAGTGCACGATATTCTGGCCATTCAAACAAATGTTCAAATATAGGGCACGCATACCTTGGCGAGCAAAACTGGATGGCGAAATTTAAAGCTGGTAAAATCCTGAGTTCCCAACGAACTTTAATGCACAGCAGCAGCCAAACAAATCTGCGAAGTGCATGCGTTTTTTCGTTTAGAATTAATTGCAAATCGGTCTGAATATAGATACGCATATTTACCGTATTTTATGACTTTGCTGGTCGAAAGGATAAATGCTTAAAATTAATTGAATTTTATGTTTGTTCAGTTGCGCATGAAAAAGATATAGATTGTGTAGGAATATTATTTTCTGAAAGTCACAAAAGTTTCTTCGTTGAAGTAAAATACTGGGCATAGCGTCGACGTTGTCGTTCCAATTGGCCCATGCCTGCGCTAACTGGAAGCACTCTGTTTCCCACGTGGTTTTCATCGGTAGGTCGACAGGTGGAGAAATTACAGTATAGAACCAATCATGCCATTTAATGGAGTTTAACATCTGAAAACAGTGCAGGAGTCACACATTATTTTTAACATTAGAAATATTAATGCTAATAAAACTGATGCAGTATTTATTTGTATAAAGTATTACTTCTTTTTTCTCAGGAAAGTAATTGTACAAGCACTTGAACCAATCATCCGTCTGTATACTTTTGTTTGCAAACGTGTAAAAATAAGATTTGAGAAATGATTCGAACGCCGAGGGTCCTCCTACCATATTCTCCAGTTCACCCAAGAGTACACATCCCACTTCGTAGGGCACATAATTAATGGCTTTAATAGGCAACACATTCTTCAGATCAGGTATTAAGCTGTTTAGCAAACCGTTATTACCACCGAATTTGCTCACCTGTAAATACAATTTCGTAAGGTAATGCAATGCAGGAGTATGTATATGTTTGTCATGTGCTGTAAAATATTTATCTCACGTCATGTCACTTAATTTTTTTATCAAGACAGATCTTCACAGGGTACGTCCTAAGAACGTTCCCCAGCACGTCTTTCGGACAAAGTGTGCGGGATGTAATTAAAGTTAATATTTCTACCTTAATATTCAAATCAATTAATGCTCTCCTTTCGAGAAGTAACTTCGCTTGCTCATACTTCAATATTTGGCAAATAATTTTCCTGCTAATGAACATGCTGATACTTTGATTTAACCACAAATCATTATAATTTGAACACGTAACTAAATGCCCCGCCCAGCTCTGTGCGATACTCCGAGCGAGCATACTGATAATAGTATGATCCGTGCGAAGTAGAATCGGCGAAACAAATGTTACGCATGGACATTCTATTTCTTCGTAAAAATAGCCGATACTTGGTGGAAGCACGCATATGTCGAATCTGTCTAGAGATATTATTTTATATATAATATAAGAAAATAATTAATAAATAGAGAGGATTTTTCGTGATAAGCCAAAAAAAAAAGAGAGAAATTTATTCTCTATATAAAAACTTACATAAACTTAAATAATATTAAAGAATTGAATTGATGGCTTACCCCAACAATAAGGTCCACACAAACTTTCAGCAATTTCCAGCATGCGTTCAATCGTACCTGTTTTAAACGTCTTGATACTATCGATAAAATATTTATTTTCGACAAACACTTTGCTCCTTGAAGTAAGTTCTGCTTTCTGCAGATAACCCGCAACAATAATCACTGCGTAAGACGGTACCCTTGTCGTTTGAAAGAATTCATATACCCACAGCTGCTGTTTCTCAGATACTTTTGGCAAAAGTGCGGACATTATAACAGTAAAATCTTTTGGCACAGAAATCTAAAAATACGGAATATAATATATAATAGACATTAAATAGACATTTTAATTTAGTTAAAGCAGTTTATAAAAAAATATAGACATTTACGTTTACAGACGTGCACTTAGTTTCTTTTTCATTAACACATTACGCTTCTTTGTACACTTTTATTACTTTCATTAATCAATAATAATCATTAACAAATTAGTCAATAATAATTATTAACAAATTATTGTTCTTATGCGTATAAGAACTTAAAATTAATATGAAATGCGTATAAATATTATTTACATTTAAATTCTTACCTTAGCAGTGTATGAAAATTTAACAGATGGCGTATCCTGACATGGGAACACCGCTCTTGCATATGTTAGCTGAAAAAAAATAGATATTTTTATACAGTCTACATTTATATAAAAAAATTGTTTTATTTAGCCAATTTATACCTTGTTGTTAGACATTAGGAAGGGATGTGTAGAATCTGCAGTTTGCTCAGGTGTTAGCCAATATAATGCAGGGCAGTTTGGACTTGTTTCATATTCAATTTGAACTACACATCTGAAAGTATCGTATTATTATGTCTATACTCAATTCTTGCAACAATAATTTTTAATAATTATATATTTTTTTAATATTTTATATTTACGTTTGCTTTCCAGTTCCAAAATTATCTCTAGTTGGCGGTAATATTATGGTAAATTGACTTCCAATAGAATGTTGAGATTCTATAGTATTATATGGTAAGAATTTTCCAGTAACAGGATTTGTGACACGTTCTATGAGAAGGTTATATTTATCTAAAATCTAATTGCTCATTATTACATATTGATAATAAATCAAAATTTTGCTCAATAAAAAAGGAAATATTTACTCACTACTTCTTTAACGGAATCAAGGGATTTCTCTATTGTCAAAATAGCTTTCCCTTTAAGAACTCTTTTATTAAAATCCACATTCAATTCTAAATCGATTTTAGTTACACGTGCCAATTCTAATAGTTAGAAAGTAATAAGAATTAAAAAATGTATAAGTAACAAGTAATGATGCATAAACAATATACGTAAAAATATACGATAAGAAATAATACTGTAATTAAAGTTTTTACAACAATTACATGATATTATTTGAGAAATGCATATAATTTTCTGATCTTTACGCTAAATACATTTGAAAGGATTAGAAGAACGTTTTCTCGATTAATTAAATTTGTAAAAGAACGAAATCTAATTTTGAAAATTATAAATTACTAAAGGTTTAAAAATACGTTCGATAATTTTGTACATCTTAACAAATTCTGCAAACATCCCTCGTTTTAGTGCTTTCCCTTTGTTACATTTTTCTTTTCTTTACGTTTCTTTAAAGAAAATTAAATAAATGAATTTTAAATAATGTTTTATTGCATTATGCTCTTGTATCTCATAAAATAATAATTTAATACCTGGTCTCGCAAAGGAGTACGGATCTTCGAATGAATTCGAAGGCATTTCAAATTTTCACCTTTCCACCTTTCAATAATGGATCTTTTTCGTCTAAACTAGCTGATATGAAATATTGGACACAGTTTTCAGCGTTCTCGACCCTCGGTCGTATGATAACAACTATGAGGAAGTAGTTAAAATAATTATCTCACACACACCTTGACTTGAAGAAAAGAACTTTTGAAGAACTCACAATTTAGTTTTATACAGTTTTTTTCATAGTACATAAAATGAAAAATCTCATGTTACTGGTTCTTTTCGAGAAGGTTCTATCTACACGTATCGCACTCTATAACTATGAGGAACAAACAAAGAATTGACCTATTCCAACACCAGCCGCAAAGATACAGTCGCTTCTAATGTCTACCCTTATCCTTTTGGCAACATCGTTTGTTTATCGAAGTGTCGAGTAGATGACTGTGACTTTTAAATATCATCAATTAAACAATCGGATAGGTGGACAAATCGAGTTCGCAGTGTGCAGAATTTATTTATTTTTACTAGAATTTTTAGGCTACTTTTACTTTTCCGTTTAAAATCTAAATATTGAAACAGAATAATACGGGATATAATCGAATTGCTGTTGAGCAAGTTTAGATATAGGAATAGATATAGGAAATAAAAACAATAACGGGAATAAATTTAACGAGAAACTTATGCAGAGATATGTTTATTAAATAATCAATTAAATAATATTTCGTTTAACTAATACACTTCTTCATAAATTTAGATACTGACTTGACGATCAAACAGCCATGAATCGCTGTAAATTGAATTTCGTCGATTTACAAATTAAAATTTTATTTCGGCTTGTTATTCTCATATTTGAAAATTGTACCATTATGCGATTATATGTATATCTACTACGAACGACAATTATTTATAATTGTTCATAATGCTGCAGTATTAAAATATATGAAGTATTATTAGATATTTACTTTATATAGCCTTAATTGTCAGTACAAACCTTTCGAAATTAATCATATGATTCTGTATTCTGACATGTAAAATTAATATTTTAAGAAACGATAACCGATTTATTACAAATTAAAATTTTATTTCGGCTTGTTATTTTCATATTTGGAAATTATACCATTATTCGATTATATGTATATCTACTACGAACGACAATTATTTATAATTGTTCATAATGCAGTATTAAAATATATATGAAGTATATTATTAAATATTTTATTAAATATTTGCTTTACAAAAAAATAATCGTATTATACGCGAAAATGACATTATCCGTAGATGTTATATAGAATTGTACTTTCATTTTTATTCGCATTAATTTATAGAGTAATCAATCCCGGATGATAACAAACTGCAGTTTTAATTAAATCGAATATTTAATTGTTATCGTGTCGTGAATTTTATAATTATCTGTGCGTATTCACGGAAAACGCGTTAGTAATAAATCGTATAATTAATATTGCGCGCTAATCGTCATATTTCTGTCTTTCATTCCAAAGAAGTCCACTTGACTCACGTGGTCCCTCTCCATAATCTCCACTCGCCGCCGTCTCGCACGCGCTGGGTACATAACCTCGCAACCGTGTTACTGCTTTCACGAGGAAAAGAATCGGTAATCTGAAATTTTCTTTGCCGGGTCGCGTCGTACGTCCGAATTCGTTCCGCGCGTGTCTCTTGACGTCGAGCTGATCCCTCTTAGTGAGAAAAGTTTGTCGCGCGATACGTGGAGTCGCGATCGAGGAAGTCACGTCAAGGCACGCGGTCTGTGTGCGGCTTCAGAAATTGTCGGCTCGCGTCTGCCACGTTGCAGTTATTTGTTAAACATACGACGTTGTTAATTAAGCCCGTTTCTCGGATATTACACGTTCGGATTAGTTTCTATGTCCGCGCTGTACATCCGTTAGTTGTGCTGCGTATGTGTAGGTTGTAGCCCTGTGGGCGCAGCGATTTGAGGTGTAACCGAGGAGTGTACATGCGTGAACGTTAATGCATTTTGCATTTCGCTTGACTGTTCCAGGGATTGAGCTGCAATCATGAGTCGTTTCTTCGCAACTGGCTCAGATTCGGAGTCCGATAGCGCGTCCGAGGAGGAGCAGGTGCAAAGGGCGCCCGCGACGGCATTCACCGTAAGTACCGTCGTTCGAGGCAAGTCGTTTTCAACGTCGTTTTCCGTCAGCAGGTTCCTCCCCGCGACGTTCTATTACTTGATTCCATTATTAAAGTAACACGAAGTGTGTCTCTCTCCGCAGTTCAGCGACGATGAGGAGGAAACGAAGCGCGTCGTGCGCTCCACGAAGGAGAAGCGTTATGAGGAGATTGCGAATCTTATAAAACTCATTAGGAATTACAAGAAGATCAAGGACATGAGCAGCATGTTGACCAGTAAGTTGTCTCAACTTTGTAAATCTTCTGTGACGTTTTTTTTTCTGTTTTTGTGCAATTGAAAGTTGGACCGGCGAGGATTAAATATACGAGCATCATTAGTTGATTTGTTTGTATTCCTTTCATAAATCTGTTGGTACGTGTTTAAACGCTTTTATTATAACGAGCATTTGCTGCCATAATTCTAGGCTTCGAGGACTTGATGCGGGCCTATCAGAAAGCCCTGCCCGTGATCACCAAGGAGGAGCTTGGACAAACGCCGCGATTTTACGTTAGATGCTTGGTGGAAATGGAGGATTTCATTAACGAGGTGTGGGAGGATCGCGACGGGCGCAAGAACATGTCCAAGAACAATTCCAAGTCGCTTTCGACCCTGCGTCAGAAGCTGCGAAAGTATAACAAGGACTTTGAAGAGGACATTGGCAAGTTTCGGGAGAATCCCGATCAGGACGATGACGAGGAGGAGGAGAAAGGTTTGATTGTCACACGAGACGTTTGTTACAGATGCCTATTTAAGTTCCAGTCTTTTTCAAGAGAGGGAAAAAAAATGAATTATTTCTATTTCAGCCGAGGAGGTGATAGAATCCGAAGAGGAAGATGACAGCGCCGTGGCTTTCAAGAAGGCGGGCTCGGAAGCGAGTGAACCCGATGTATCCAAGTTCAAGGTTTTCTATAACGACTTCTATCAAGACCTTACAAGCGCCGGTGGTTGAGCAAAATAATTGAAATCCATTCCCTTGCGTTGTTGCATTGCAGAAGACCGTAACCGACGGCGAGGAGGGCAGTGAAAGCGAGTCTGACTGGGGCAGTGATTCGGACAGCGAGAGCACGAGTAGCGACGACGAGGGCCAATATCAAAACATTCGTGAGCGTTTCATCAAGAAGTACGTGTTCTTTCAGTCCACGATAAAATCCGATAGAGATTTTCTTCACGAAAAAGAGAGCTGAATTTAACGATTATTATATTATGATTTGTTTTAGGGCTTCAACTCAAGAAGAGGACGAGGACAAGGCGAAGAGGAAGGAGCAGAAGAAGGAGCGCAAGGAGAAGGAGCGAAAGAAGAAACGCGACGAGGACGATGGCGAGGGCGAGTGGGAAACCGTCAAGGGCGGCGTGGCCATTCCCTCCGAGAAGCCCAAGATGTTCGCCAAGGACGCGGAGATTAACATCGGCGCGGTGCTGAAGAAGCTCTCCGAGATAATCGCGGCTCGCGGTAAAAAGCGCACGGACAGACGCGAGCAGATAGAACTGTTGCACGAGCTGCAACTGATAGCCGACGCGCATAATCTCGGCTCGGCTGTAGCCGTGAAGATCAAGTTCTCCATCGTCTCTTCCATATTCGATTACAATCCGAAGGTCTCTGACGCTATGAAGCCGGAATATTGGTCCAAGTACGTATTTTTTGCGTGACGTAGATAGATACGAGCATGTATATATAAATTGATAAGCTTAAAATGTAAGATTTAACGGGATTTGTGATTTTTCGAGACACTGTCTGCAATACATTTCGTATTATCGTTTCACTTAGCGCTTGCAACGAAATTGTTTGTTCTTTTTAACTGGATTGTTTGCGCAGTTCATCTTTCCTTCTTTTCTTTCTTTTCATTCGAAAGAAAAGGAAGCAAGAAGTTCAGTTAAAAAAAAACAGACCTATTGTTTCATCCAGTTTATCAAATTAAACAAGGATAAATGATGCGAGCGTTGTAAGCGCCAAATAGAACGCACCGCTTCGTAGGAACGGATGAAAAGAGGCTTCTTGCACGCGCGTTTTTCGTCTCTTTTTTCCACTTGTTCTGACGATGTGCAGTAAGTCGCTTCTCTTGTAGAAGATCATATTCGTGCGTTTAAGTTTCCTGCGTGTCGTGCGTGCGTATTTAATCTATTTTCTCAGCATTTAAAGTAAACAAGTGTCAAATAAAACACTTATTCTTACAGAATAATCGAGCGCATTACCGAGATGCTGGATATGCTGCTGATCAATTTGGATATGGTAATAGCGGAAACGATAGTGGAAGAAACGGAGGAGTTTGAAACGTCTCCGTACAAAATACACGGTTGTGTATTGACATTGGTGGAACGTCTCGACGAAGAATTCACGAAGCTGCTGAAGGAGTGCGATCCCCACAGCAACGAATACGTGGAAAGGTAATGGTCTTTTCGAGAGAATTATGCGTAATTTCATATTTATGACTGTTAATATTTTTTGTACGATCAAATTTCCGCTTGTTACAGATTGAAAGATGAGAAGCAAGTTGCCGCCATAATTGACAAGGTGCAAGAATATTTGGAGAGGCACGGAACTGTCTCCGAGTTGTGCCGCGTGTACCTTCGTAAAATCGAGCACTTGTATTACAAATTCGATTCGAATGTTCTGAAACAAAAGGAGGTAAAAAAAAAAAGAAAATCTTGCAGAGTAATTTCCATGCGCGCGCGCGTTCTTCCGTTTTTATTTAAATTGTAAAATTGTAATGTGCATTAGGGTGAACTGGGATCAGATGCCATCACATCCGTGCAAGTTATGGAGAAGCTATGCAAGTACGTTTACGCCCACGACAACACTGATCGGCTGAGAACTCGCGCGATTCTTTCGCACATTTATCACCACGCTCTCCACGACAACTGGTTCCAAGCGCGCGACTTGATCCTGATGTCGCATCTCCAGGAGACCATTCAGCATTCCGATCCAGCCACGCAGGTTTGAACTTATACCAATTTTTATCTTGATTTTATTAAAATGTAAATATAAAAATAACTTTAATTTACTTTCAATTCTAAATTTATCGGAAATAATTTTACTTTTTTTTTTTTATATAGATTTTGTACAATCGTACGATAGCCCATCTGGGATTGTGTGCATTCCGTCATGCGAATATCAAAGACGCCCACAATTGCTTGGTCGATTTGATGGTGACGGGCAAGGTGAAGGAACTTCTGGCGCAGGGTCTGCTGCCGCAACGGCAACACGAGCGCAGCAAGGAGCAGGAGAAGATCGAGAAGCAGCGGCAAATGCCTTTCCACATGCACATTAATCTCGAACTTTTGGAATGCGTATACCTCGTTTCGGCGATGCTCATCGAAATTCCGTATATGGCTGGTATATTTTCTTATTTTCCGTTTGATATTTTTTTATATTATTTATATATATATATTTTTTTACGGAGTTACTACACGCAGTTTATTACACGCGACAAATTAATCGATTCCAGCGCACGAGTTCGACGCGAGACGAAGAATGATCTCGAAGACGTTCTACCAACAACTGCGATCCAGCGAACGTCAGTCGTTGGTCGGGCCTCCGGAATCTATGCGGGAGCACGTTGTTGCTGCCGCGAAGGCGATGCGTAACGGAAATTGGTCAGCTTGCAACAATTATATTATAAATGAAAAGATGAACGCAAAGGTATTAAGAGCGATATTTTGGCATTGGCAATTTTTTTTCTTTCAAATCGAGAATACCGTGATATACTGATTGCTTTTGTCAAAAACAGGTGTGGGATCTGTTCCATCAAGCGGACAAAGTGCGAGCCATGCTGACACGACTAATCAAGGAGGAGGCATTGAGGACTTATCTGTTCACGTACTCGCATGTGTACGATTCGATCTCGATGCCAAAGCTCGCCGACATGTTCCAGCTGAAGCGGCCCATAGTCCACTCGATTATCAGTAAAATGATAATTAACGAGGAACTTATGGTATGCAAAGATATCTTTATGTCGTACATCGTCTTATTGATATTGATAAAATAAGTGTATTTTTTTCTTTTCGTAAATCTAGGCATCTTTGGACGACCCAACTGGAACTGTAGTTATGCACCGAAGCGAACCGAGCCGCCTTCAATCATTAGCTCTGCAATTGACGGACAAAGTCAACAATTTTGTAGATTCGAACGAGCGTATCTTCGAAATGAAGCAAGGTATAGTATACAGACGAATGAAGTATATTCGTTGATCTTTATTTTGATGTATCATCGAGATCATTGATTAGAATGCTATCAAAATTGTTTTATTTTGAAAATTAAGTAGATTAATTTTTTATCAAAAATAATGAAATTATTCATTTCTATATCAATATCTATTTGAATACATTTTTACTTTTATTTTCTATATCATGTATATTGTATATTCTTCTTTTACATCGGTTTTTAACAAGCCTGAACACAGACTTGACTTATTCCAATTCTGACTTTATAGCTAAATTCGTATATATATTAAAAATGGAAAGAATACAAATAACGCTATGACCACAGAAAAAAGGAGAGAAAGTGAAAGAGAAAATTAAGATATTTAATCATATTCGTGAATAACTCTTTGAATGTTTTATTTTTTATTATTGTATTTTATGTTTTTAGCTTTTTTGTCAATCAAAATACTTTTAGAAATATTTAATCAAGAAAGTTGAATACAATTTTTTTTACAAAAATATACACTTTATTAATGTACATTTCATACATATCTTATACATTTATTAAATAATGCAGGTAACTTCTTCTCGAGAGGAAACCAAGGCAATTTCCGAGATCGTCAAAATTACAATCGTCAAGGACAGGATTGGGGCCGACAGAGGCGCGATCGCGATCGCGATCGTGATCGTAATCGGGAGGAGAATCGTAATTATTAAGTACACGGTATATATATACCAATACGGCATAACGATATAATTGTACGGAATATAATTGTTTTTTGTATATAATTTCGTCGTTATTATTAATGCTATAATGTTATAATGATTAAAGTTTGACGATATCTCTAATAATGCTGTGCGAAAAACGAAACTACCCAGTTCACGTTTCGCACCGAATTATTAGAGATATTATTAAACTTTAATCATTATAAAATTATAGCTTTAATAATAGCGATGACATTATTCTCAGTTTTACTTTTCGCACCGAATTATTAGAGATATCGTCAAACTTCAATCATTGTGACGTTTAAATTGAATAACACCGATGACATTATATAAAAAAAAAACAAATACTGATACATTGCAAAATTATTTACATTTTTGCTCCGCAATATTGTCGACGATTAGGTATTATATATAATTTATATAAAATGAGTATGTATAATCTTTTGTGTATTTATTGCACGAAAAAAAAAACATTTTTACATTCCTGAGTAAGATATGAGTCTTCATATCTTTTGTATCCTCTGGATGAGTTTGTTACCCGTTAGAATAGTGTCGGACGTAAGAACGAGACGTATCCCTGTAGACTTCTCTACGAGCCGGCAGGCCGCTATTTCCGCGCAGGTAATGCCACCTATCACGCATATCACGACCCGTTTTGGCGACAACGCGCCTCGGTGACCACTTACGGCGCAGCTCGATAGATTCGTCAGATCCTCGAAGCTGCGAGGGTCCTTCTCTTGATTCGACACGATGTTTAATATTTGCGCCTGTAATACGTTAAACGATATCGCGTTAATATCATATAACTACGCTTGATTTATAATGTAATACGTTAAACGACATCGTAATATCGCTTGATTTTTACAGTGGAGGAATAATGAAATACGAACTATTGCGGGTGTATAAGCGTTGTTGAACACGTAGCTGGGACAGGTGCGGCCGTTCTGATCGGACCGTTTCGAAGAACCGGGCAGCATCTTCAATTTTTGCGCGTTGCCGCTCCACTCGCTGCTCCAGTTCGGCAGCTTGTGCAAAATATATTCGTTCCTGTACTTCAGCAAGCCGGCCGTGTGCAGCTTGTAGAACAGCGGGATATGCTGATAACCGTGGCTGTGGAGATGCAGCTTTTGGATGTTCTGAAGCTCGCTCTGCGTGACACCGTCGGTGGTGATGGACAGCAGGCACAGGAGCCGCAAACATCGCAACGCGTGCTCGTCTGCAAGAAAATTATTTCACCCTTTAATCGTGATTAGGTCATTAATTTTAATCCCAATTAATTTCTGATATCGCGATTATTAAATATAGCTCTGATTCCATTAATTCTAGGAGACGCACCTATATGTCTCTCAATGTAGCCCAAGCATTCCTTTCGGTCCCTGCAGTCGATCATCAGCTTCTCGATCGTCTGCAGGACTTGGAACTCGGAGCCCAACGTGTCCGCGATGGTCTGGCACGCGGATATGTGAAACGCCAGCTGCCGGGTCATGTCGCTGGTCTTTTGCAATCTCGTCGACACGTATCTCTCCATCTCGGACAGCTGCATCGTCTGTACCGCCTCCTGCTCGGCTGATGTTAAGCCAGCAAATTAAAATAACGACAAAGCGAGAAGCGCGGTATTATAATTATATAGTGACAGATACATTTAAGCGACTTGGCCTTCCCGTGTAAAATCGGGAAAACGTCACTGCAGGGCGTGTCTCTCACTTCCCCGTAGATCTGATCCCTATTCGGATCCAGTCTGGTTTGCGATTTCTCCAACGTCGCCGTGCCGACGTTCACCTCCACGACTTCGTTCAACAAGCCCGCGTACGTGACGGGCGTCAGGAGGGTCGCGGCCAGATCGAAGCTCCTGTCCATCACGATCAGGGCGCCGATCTCGTTCTCCAGGCTGGACGAGCCCAGACTCTGCTCCATGGTCTCCATCAGCTTGCTCAGTTGCTGGCTGTGCTTGCCGAGGTAGAGCGAGAGCCTCGGCGAGCCGAGTATCAGCTGCAACGACCACATGTTGCGCGCCAGCGCTCGCAGAGGACTGGTGTCCTTGTGGTAGTACAGGTCGACGAACATTGGATTTTCCAGGGACAAAACGTTCCCGTCTAATCTCACGAACTCCGCCGATAACGTCCGCAACGTAATCAGCTCGGACAAGCCTGGAACAGAAACGATTCGGCGCGTTATTAAAGATAAACGGAACAGATAATGGTCGTCGGTAATTTGGCGGTAATTTGCTGACCTTCCTCCTCGACTAGATTGTATAACACAGGCGGAACGAACGGCATGACCAGCAGGTGATGGCACACTTCGACGTGAGGTCCGCTAATGAGGGATATCTCGGACTGTATCTGATCTAGGACCCTCTTGCAGGCGATCAAGCTGTTAGACACTAAGAATATACGTTGACTGTTCGACGGCTTCAGCCCCTCCTCCATCTTATAAATCTTGTCCACTCCGTATCGCCTTGAATAATATGATACAATTATTACGAATTTCGTAATCAATAAGAGTAATACATAAGGTATATGTTAAAACATGAGATCATTTACTTCAATACGGTCACTCCTATGAAACTATCCAGTATTTTCATCAGTTTCTGTTCTATTATCAGATCCTTCGATCCTGGAATGGTATCCAGTATTTTTACAAGCTTCTGCTGACTGATTTGCTGCAGCGCGGACAGCTTATCATCCAGGGTGATATCCATTTTGTTTTATCCACAGTAAACCATAATATATTATATATATGTAGCACAGTGCTCGAAGAGAAGTACTCTCTGAAGCTGATTATCCTCACAGATGTTTTTCATATCTAAAAATAAGAATTATTTTACATATAAATATGTGCACGTGTGTGTGCACATTCTGCTAAATATATTAATATATAGGATAAATTATGTATAAGAAAATTGCTTTCATTCTTTTCTCTCCGCAAGAAACAGACTTATTTATGATGCAAACTAAGAATTTGGTAAAATTTAATTAAACATTTATTTATTTATTTATTTGCACACTTAAGTAATGCGCAAACTAGGAATGTCATTTATAAATTGTGTATTTACTATTTGCATAACAAGGCTCGTGTTGCACAGGTTGCACTTAGGCACCCCAGGCCTTTGTTTACATTTGACAGAAGAAAGTTAAGAAAGATGTGAAAGCAGTATGTATAATGAATGGTACTCCAATGAAAATGTTTTGTTCCAATTTGCGATCAATCAGTTGCCGAATTCCTCTTCAATTAAGAATTAAATTGAGAACTAGAATTATATATATATTTCTTTTTATAAATTAGTCGAATAACGTTTCGTCTACAGTATATATCCATATACGATCGTAGAAAGTGGGCAACAGGTTTCGTGATAAGAAAATTGAGGATCGGTTGAAACACGCAATTATAAATAAAATTGCACACAGTCGCGTTCGCGTTATCGGCAAATTTGCGGGGCAAACGCGACGTTTAGCGCGATAAGCTAGGTAAGAATTGCGCGGAGAGCGGAGCACATAAGGTGTACGCGCGGACATACGCGAAGGATGCTCGCACAGAACATATACTAAGAGAAGCGCAAGCTCCGTGTTAAACGAAGGAAACAAATATCGATCGCCGCGCTCCAAGTGGTTTGGCATAGTATTAGATAGCAAATATGCCGTATGGAAAATGCTCCAGTGACTAGACATGAATCTATATGTTTCAGGGCACTTACACAAAAAACATATTAATTTCAAATGCTTCTTTTAATATTATAATAAAAGAAGCATTTAAAATTAATAAGTTTTTATGTAAGTGTCCTGAAACATATAGATCCAAGCATTTACCTTATATATATATATATAATTTAAATGTTTGAAAAAATATATACTCAATTATTTATATATTCAAATTTTTACACAAATATTCAAAAAACTAACTGTAACTTTTACAAGTCTTAAAAATAGAAATTAAATTGTTTTGGTTTACAGCAGTCAAATGTATGCAGCAAGAAATATTTTAAGTTATAAATTATTGATACACAAGAAATAAGTACAAGTTCTACAGAATATAATCAAAGAAAACTAAATACTTATAAAAAAAACCAAACAGGATTATCATGTGTAAAGGCTTAGATCGGAAGAGCACACGTCTGAACTC